AAAAAGGTTAGTTTTTTCTGACATCAGAAAAAAGATAAATCCAAGAAAGTCATAGCAGGAAATTAAGTGAGAAACAGAGTCCTGAGTGATAGACAACTGAAGTACATAAGAAGCAATAGCTGACATATTAGATTCAGACTACTGGTTATAGACATATTTGGTCCAAGGTCATTTTTACCCTAACGTAATATTAAATATTATATTGCACTAAATGACAAAATCTAATGTATAGGAGTTTTACATGGTCAGCACAGCTGCAAAGAAAAAGAGAGCTGTTCAGCAAGAACACTCAGCTTTTCTAAAAACAGTCAACAAAGGGGTTCAGTCTTAGGATTTAGTGACAGGGTATAGAAAAGAAACACCAGAAGTCACATCCTTTGAAAATTAAGAAAGCAAAGTCAGTGAACAGTCAGTATGGATCACAGAAAAAGCAAATGAAAAACCGAATCTAGCTGAAAAAAGTATGCATTTGGTTATATATTCCGTATTTCCTCTCAACGTTTGTACATTACTTTGATGTGTAATCACAAGATGGTCATTAATGACTTCTTTCAGTTTTCCTCAATGTAAGGTGAAAATGAAAAAAAAAGCTACCTTCAGTCTTTAATCTTCATCATTTAACATATAACTATGGAATATAATGGGTGATCTGAACCTACCTTGGTTCTGGAAAATACAGGAGTGAGAACTCATATTTTCTTATAGGAAATTTACGAATAATCATGCAAGTGAACCCAAATGGAGATGGGGGGAGCTGGCAAAGGGTTCTTATATTGTCTGTGGGATTAGTAAATATACTTCAACCTTAGATTGGAAGAATGAGTAGGTCTTAAGTACACAAAAGAAGACAGAAGATGTCAAGTGTTCCACATAAAAAAATAGGGAAAGAAAGGCAATCCAAGACCATAAAAAGACAGATGCAAATCTTCACAGACCTCCTTCTTAATGTTCCAATTCCATGTAGAATAAACAATTTTTGAGTCAACCTGGACTCCTTAAAAAGAAATGTATGATGCATATGCCCAAATACAAGGTCAAGATTTTTCATTAAAAAAAATATGCCTCCCTTTGTACTCACAAAGTCCTGTAAAAGTATGTTCTAGGGCCTCCCCAGTGGCACAGTGGTTGAGAGCTGGGCTGCGAAGCTGCCCACAGCCTCTGCAGCATCGGTTCGATCCCCGGCCACCAGCGAGGGTCCCACATGGCACAACAAACCTCTCCTGCCACGCCTACTGCTCCCCTCAGCAGTGTGTTTCGTCGTCTGTCTGTTCTGTTCTCCGCTCTGGCTCTGGTGAATTCTCTCACCCTCCCGTGCTTCTGACTGTACCCAGTGCTTGTATAAATAAATAAATAAATAAATCTTTAAAAAAAAAGTATGTTCTACTACTTAGCTCTCTTATTTGATTTTGAACAACAAAGTAGTATTTAGGAAAGATACAGTATCCTGAGCCTTTAATCAATGACAGCTTTAGATATCTATAGAGACTACCTGACTTGAAGGAAATAATTTATTTTTTTTTTTAAAGATTTATTTTATTGGGACCTCCCTGGTGGTGAAGCAGGTTGAGGGCAGTGCTGCGAAGCTGTCCACAGCCTCTGCAGCGCCGGTTCGATTCCTGGCTGGCCAGGGAGATACCCACATGGCGTGGAGGGGTCTGCCACTGCTACCCTCAGCAGTGTCTTCGGTCCATCTGCCTGTTCTGCTCCCCACTCTATCTCTGATGAATCCTCTCACCCTCCCACGCCTCTGGCCTGTACCCCAGTTCTTATATAAATAAAAATAAATCTTTAAAAATAGATTTCATTTATGTATCCAAGAACTGGGGTATAGGCCAGGTGTGTGGGGGCAGGGGCGAGGCGATTCACCAGAGAGAGTGGGGAGCAGAACAGGCAGATGGACTGAAATACACTGTTGAGGGGATAGCAGGTGAGACAGGAGAGGTCTGCTATGCATTGTGGGTCAGCTCCCTGGCTTGGGATCGAACTTGTGCTGCAGTGGCTGCTGATAGCGTCATTGTGCTGAGACTTAACTCCTTGTGCCACCAGGGAGGCTCGGAAGGATTTATTTTTAATTGGCAAAAAAATATTATAAATTTGCTAATTAGTGGAACTATGAATTTGCAATTTTCAAGTATTGGCTGTCTCAAAACTTAAAAATCACTTAAGCAACCAACTTAGCATATTGAAAATATTATAGATATCATGAATATTATGAATGCAGGCCACTTTAAAAGCTATTTGCTATTCAGGAAATAGTCCAGCAATTTTCCAGTAAAAATCACATGCAAAATCCAAGATGGCTATATTTTAAGCAACCACAATGGATAAGAAAATGACACTCATTAGAAAACTGGCATTCTAGACATATAGTAATATGATAAATATCATGAATGAATATTTTGAAATTTCACTTATATTAATAAAAGTAGACACACAGAAGTTCAAAAACTAAAAATTTCTCACTGGGACTGAAGATGCGTAATATGCAAGAATATCCTACATTTGGACATAGAAAATATTTTAAGGTAATTTATTTGTAAATGTTAAAGGAAAAGCTAAGTACTTTCTAAGAATTTTCAATAACTCAATCAAAGCATATCATATCTGGGAGGAGACTCAGAGTTTACTGAAGAGTCCATCTAACTTATTTTACAGATAAAGGAACTGACTCAGAGGAAAGGAACTTGCCAACTGACATTAATGGCAATGATGGAATTCTAGGTCTTCTCTAATTCCAAGCCTACCTAGTACTGCCTAGGACTTCACGTATGCCTTATGAATTATAGGATAATAATTATGCTTGAAGTCTTTTTATGAAGATATAAAAGAAATGTTAAATCACTAGCAGTCTGTATGACATTTAAAATCTGTATTTGGGCCTCCCCGGTGGCGCAGCGGTTGAGTGCTGGGTTGCGAAGCTGCCCGCAGCCTCTGCGGCACCGGTTCGATCCCCAGCTGCTCCCCGGCCACCGGAGGAGGGTCCCACATGGCGTGCAGACCTCTCCTGCCACCCGCTGCTCCCCTCAGCAGTGTACTTCGGTCCTTCTGCCTGCTCTGCTCCCCGCTCTGGCTCTGGTGACTTCTCTCACCCTCCCGCGCTTCTGACTGTACCCAGTGCTTGTATAAACAAATAAATAAATAAATAAAACATGCCTCTATTAAAAAAATAAATAAAATTAAAAATAAAATCTGTATTTGATTCCAGTAGCTCTAGCAAGTTCATTAGTGTTTCCCAGAGTAATTTAAGGAGCATTTACATTAGATTCACTTGGAATGTTCCTTAAAACTGAAAATTCCTTGGTTCAATTTCACACCCATTTTCACTCTCCAAAGTTGAAGCACAGAAATCTTCATTTTTCTTAAAACAAAGTATCCTGGTGACTCTTAGGCATATTAAAATTTGAAAACTACCAAACTGTGGTCTTTAGAACCTTAGCACTTAGCTTTCTAGTTGTAACTGAAATCTGCAGCAGGTCATAAAGAATAGTTTCTTTCTTCAGAGCACATAATAAAAACTGTCAATGGTAAATAAGGTTCATGTAGCCTTTATGTCTCTTTAGTATTATGTACTAACAGATCCATTTTTTTTTTGTTTTAACAAAGATGAGCCATACAATTCTTCATGTTACTGAGAGTAACATGCAGCACTAGAGTGAGGCCCCAAGATAGTAAAAAGATCTAAGTAAATAAGCACCAAACAAGTAATTCATTATCTAGCCTTTCCCATCATGGGAACATTACTCACACTTCAAAATGAATGCATAAGGAAAAATGACTCTAAGTGTCATGAGTCCTAATGACAAGTATTCCTTCATGAACCTCCCACAGAGCTCTTCATGAGTCAAGATATGAATATCCTTCCTGTACCTTTAAGAGACAGATTTTTCACTACAGATTATGTTTCATTTATGTAGTACCTTTCTGTTAAAGTGCTAAAAGTACTTTACAAGCCTTTAGGCCAGGCGTCTGTTTTACCTTACAATAGAGAATTATTTCTCTACAGCAAATTCACTATCTAAATATAACGTGTTCCAGAATTGATAATTTTTTCACTATATCTCAAAACACTATTGTGATATCAGTAGTCTTTAAGAAGTTAATAGTCACTTAGACTATATACAATTTTTGTAAAATGGAAAAAAAAAGCTTAAAATTTATATTCCAAAGTTCCCAATAGTACTTCTTTATATATCCCTAAAACAGTCATACAAGGTATATAGGTCAGTAGATGGCTAAGAACACATAATAAAAAAGAAAAAGAAAAACACAAAGCAATTTAAACAGCCCCTGAAATTTGATACAGGTCACCCATTTAAGTTTCAATGCAAATTCTATAAATAGATATTTTAATGCCATTAAGATATATCTTGATAACTAAATAATAAATCCTAGAAAAATATAATAATGCACAGATAAATACATGGTGATCAGCTTTTAGTAAAAACATGTACATTCTTATTTCAATCCTAAACTGGCCTTCAGGCCATATATGCAGCTCTAAACTAATTTATCCTCAGATAACAGAGCAGCATAGTTTATGACAACAATCTACCTAAAATCTCATTAAAGTCTTTTCTCATCGAGTGACATGCATTATCAGCAGAGATTAATCTGATGAGTCTTTAGGTGAGCTCCATTTTTAAAAATGCAATAACAGAGGGCTTTGTTGTCATCTGATGAAAATCAATTAGAGGATGGTAAGGCCACAAGGAAAACTAACATCACTCATCACATACCCCTGGCAAGTGAAATGATTTGTCTTCCAAGGTTGGATGATCAGGAACTATAGTCATATTGCAGGGAAATTAATTCAGTTTCTATATTCTGAACTCACTTTCCTTATTCTGGAGGATCTAAACATAAATTACTTTTAATCAAGGTTGATATGTTATTAATACCAAAGAGGTTTTTTGAAGAAACATTCTTTTAAAATCAACTTTAGCATTTTTCACCTGTGCTTGCGGAAATAAATATAGGAATGTTACTTATATCATCCTTACTTTCCAGATTCTTTATCCACAACAAGGCACTGTATTGAATGGCGAAGACAATAGATTCCACCAAACACAGCACACATCCTGGGAAGAGAACAGGAAAATGAGAATTAGGAATTTTTTTTCTAATATCCAAAAGGGGCAGGCTTATTTTATTTTTTTTAAGACTTATTTATTTATTTATACAAGCACTGGGTACAGTCAGAAGTGTGGGAGGGTGAGAGGATTCACCAGAGCCAGAGCGGGGAACAGAACAGACAGATTGATGAAACACACTGCTGAGGGGAGCGGCGGGCGTGACATGAGAGATCTGTTGCTCCATGTGGGACCCTCGCCGGTGGCCAGGCATTGAACCAGTGCTGCAGAGACTGCGGGGAGCTTTGCAGCCCAGTGCTCAACCGCTGCGCCACCAGGAGAGGCCTGGCAGGCTTATTTTAAAAAGGGGAAGAAAGACTCTACACAGACACAAGTGGGCACAAGAGTTACTGTCATGGCTGCTGCTACTTTTGAAAGGAAAAAGTTTAGTAAAAGAGACACTCACAGAGACATAAATACACAGTCTTGAGACAAGAACTGTCGAGAATTAGGATTCTTGTGTGGTAAATTAAGGCAACATTTTAATTTCTTACATTTAATAATTGGTTTTACAGAAAAATAATTTTGATAATTTGTTATTTTCTTTACCATGATATTAAAAGTCACTCAGAGGTAAGATTATTAATATTTGGATACCGCAAAGATATCACTGCTGATAATACAGTGTAGAAGTATAAATTGTAACCAAGCCAAAAGTTTCCCTAAGCAAAGCCCAGTTCTCTTTCTCAAACCAGCTATTGGCTATATAAAGTAAACAGGCTACTAAATAGCTCCAAGAGATGATGGTGAAAACCCCAACAGAAGTGATTACTTCTGTTGTGTTAAAGTAGACACAAACAGGGAAGATTTCTGGGAGACCCCTGAAGATTTTGCTTATTATAAAAGTAAGCAAAAAGTAATCTGGGAACTGAAAACTGAGTTAGGAAGCACCTGAGTTAATGCTGCAGAACACAATGTTTGGCTCTTCATTGAAAGGGTAATGTAGAGTTAAAAACCCACTTAATAATGAGGGATAAAACAAAAGAAATGATTCATCTAAAGACTTGCCTGTGTATAAGAAGATTATAACACTATTTACAATAAACTGTCTGGCATCATAAGTTGGGGTTTAAAATTATACAACTACATGATACAAGAAATCCTTAACTAATATCATAAAAGTGGCTCTGGAAGTACCCCTGGACACTTGGTGAAAGCAATTGCTAAAACTTTATATAGGGATATGACCTCAACTCAGGCCAAATGAGATTATATCAGACTGTTTAGCTACATTTTCCTCCTGCTGAGTTGATAGGGGAATAACTGATACAGTGATGTTAATGTAGTCAAATAATCAGCCCAACTTTCTCCATCAATTTCCTGTTGCTACTGAGTTCCTATACAAATAAAATATTACTGTCCCACTAAACCTAAATAGGCTGAATTAGGCCTTAAGGGACAAACAAGTTAAGTGTGTACCCTGCAATCAGCATACTCACCTGCCTAGGAATATCTTCTGTCATTTTGCAGTAATGGGACATACATTTTGCATTTGGGAAGCACCAGTGTTTCCCAATTTCTTGTAAACAACTATGGACGAACTGTTATCAATTGGCCTATAGAGTTATTTATTTCAGGCACACTGGCCCAGACACACAATCAGTTCCCCCATTAGGAAAAACAATTTTTAATCTTCTTGGAGTCCAAAAAGAGAAAAGAAATCAATTTCAGGATCAGAAGTTGTATAAGGTTAAAAAATTCTAAGATATTATGTTATAAACTATTATGATAGCATCAAGCATGATAAATCCACTTAACAAATTAAATATAATTTTCTATAAAGACTCACTTTAGTATATAATATTATCAAGCATCCTTTTCTTTGAATTTCTTTATTAAATATGGAGGGTAAATGGGATCTTTGAAAAATATATTTAAAATAAAATGCAACAGAGGCATCTATATTTATTTTAGTAAGCCATCCAAAAATTTGTCTGGAAAAAAATTACATGTTTTTCAACAACACAATTTATTAACAGAGGCAATATACTATATAGAAGAAACACAAAAATGTGTGGAATGTTAATAACAGGTTTGGGTGGATGATGGGGAGTATTTATGGAGGAAGGAGTGCAGTAATGAAACACTGTCAAAATCATCCAACAAATTCCCTCTTAATTTTAAACAAGAACATAAGAAGTTATTTTGGATTCTTGGAAAGAATGACTTGATATCACTGTAAATTTATATAATGGCCAAATTGTACATTTGCATGGGCACAATTTTCATACAGTCTTTCCTGTTAGGGAAGATATGTGTTGATCACAACAGTGGCATTTCTTCTTCACCTCTGTGTTTCCCTTCCTTAACCTCAAATGACAAAAAACAGTGGTTTGTAAAAGTGCTAGGCAAAATGAGGGGACTGATGAATTTTTATCAGGTATTTTCATACATGATCTATAAAAAAAAATTTTCTGGGGGCCTCCCCTGGTGGCACAGCAGTTGAGCGCTGGGCTGCGAAGCTGCCCGCAGCCTCTTTTGCAGCGCAGGTTTAATCCCCGGGCCGCCGGGGAGGGTCCCACATGGTGCAACAGACCTCTCCTGCCTCGCCCGCTGCTCCCCTCAGCAGTGTATTTCATCAGTTCTCCTGTTCTGTTCCCTGCTCTGGCTCTGGTGAATTCTCTCACCCTCCCGCGCTTCTGACTGTATCCAGTGCTTGTATAAATAAATAAATAAATATTAAAAAAAAAAAAAATTCTGGTTAGGGGAGGATAATAGGTTATTGAAGAAACCTTTTATAATGGGTAAGAAGAACATTAGTGGCAGTTCTTGAGAACCTCATTCAAAACACAAATCACAGTTATTTATAAGAGAAATTACCTGAAAAGTAAGGAAATGGCTTTGGCGACACACTGATCTTTGAAGCACCCAGTCAATAATATCAATAGTCAATAAGAAAACAAATAATAATCATGGGTAGCATTGAGTGCTTACTACATGCCAGTTTTTTAATTTCCAGTGAGTTTTTTAATTTCCAGTGTAGGTTTTTTTTTTATTATGGTAACAATGGTTTATAACACTGTACGTAATTCTGAGTTATAGGTTCACACCTCTTCAGATGTATGTTAAAACACACACACACACACAACAGTAAGTTAAAAAAAGTAAACTCAAATGAATATAATATTGCATTGTTATCTATCAGATTTTGCCTGAAATTTTAGAGTACATATTCTCATTTCTTTCTCTTTATATCTATGTACTCAGTAAACTGTAAAGTACCCTATAAATATAATCTATAATTACCTTAAATGACATCCAAATTTAACAATTACCAGTCAACCAAGTAATAACAAGCATTTACTGAATACTCTCAAAGTATAAAATATATTATTAGGTACTTGAGGGTACTGAGTAACCGTAATTAACACAAGACCTCAAAGAGCCTTTGGAATTGAGGAATTAAAACACCCTTATAATACAAAATTAAAACATAAAAAGTAAAAAACATAAAAAGTAAAAAAGGCAAGTACATTGACTTTTTTGGAGTTAGTTAAGACTCTAAAAGACATGTATTTTCTTCTAGTGCATTAAATGGCAGCCTAGCAACCCAAGAGTTAACACACGTTAACTACCAAAATTAAGCTACCGAAGATGTTAAACACCAATGAGATGGCAATCAGATCTCAGCTTTGATGCAGTTCATAGCAGCCATCCCAGGATCAACAGAATGCCTGGCAAGGCAGTTGGGTACACCTACCTTCTGCATAGTAGTATGGGGCCCAGATGCAAGCAAGGGTAAGTTTTATGTGACCTAAAAAAATCTACGAATTAACTAAATACAGTAGGCATTATTACCAAAAAAAAAAAGTTACTAGAAATATACACTTGAAATACTTTATCAATGCCATTAAAAACAAACCAAACCAAAAAAAAAAAAATCTGTTGTAAGAGAATTCTGATGATCACTTAGCATCACCAGTGCGTTGTTTTGGCACCCCAGCTTAAAAGGTAAACTGATAAAGCAGAAGTTCCATTCAACAATAATTAGGTACATCTAAGTTTTGTGAGATAATAAAGCTTGCAGTGATGCATCTATCTATACAAAGTTCAACCATGTTACTTATTTTTAACTATATTCATAATCAGAGCACTGTATTTAACAGGACACTGAGTTTTCTATCATGTTTACACAGACCTGCTAATCTGAAATATGTTTGTGGGGAGACCCATATATATAAGTGTATGTGTTTATTTTTATATACTTTAATAAACACACACAGGGGGTCCCAAAAGTGTTAGTGTTGTTACACATACACAGGCTTGAGCACACACACATACACAATGCAGTTTTAATATTTATTACATAGCATGTAGCAGGTTTATGGGTTACAAACATTTATTACACATTCCTGTTACTATATCATATTTACTGTCACATATTTTTATTGCTTAACATATTGTTTACTTATGCTACCATTCCTTTTTTTTCTCTTTCTTTCTTTTTTTTTTAATTAATTTATTTATTTATACAAGCACTGGGTACAGTCAGAAGCGCAGGAAGGTGAGAGAATTCACCAGAGCCAGAGCAAAGAGCATAACAGGCAGAAGGACTAAAGTACACTGCTGAGGGGAGCAGCAGGTGCAGCTGGAGAGGTCTGCCATGCCATGTAGGAACCTCGCCTGGTGGCCGTGGATCGAACCGACGCTGCAGAGGCCACAGGCAGCTTCGCAGCCCAGCACTCAACCGCTGCGCCACCAGGGGAGGCCCTCTCTTTCTTTCTTAGTAACTGGTACCTCTAGCAGGAATTGGAATGAAGGGAAGTAATTTTGTGAGTGCCAAAAATGACTGAGGTATTTTAGTGTAGTTGGTCTGTCTGAGGATGCAAAATTGGGTTAGTCAGAGCATCATCTCCACCTACCACAAGATCCTCTCTCTGTTTCAAGTTATTGTATGTAATACAACTCAGCTTAGACTTCTTATTGGCCCAGAACTAAATGCTATCTTA